TGCATGGTATGGTCGAGTTGATCAATGTGGCTCTCTTCACAGTTATAGGTGTAGCAATATCATGAATTGTGTAACATAAAAGAGGTAGTTGTAGAATAGGTGTTAAATACCAGCCAAAGTTGCAGCACTTGTACGTATGAGTATGTGCACAACACATACATTCATGGCCATAGTTAGAGTACAACAAGAAACATGCATGCAGTTGGGAACACGACACAACCTAACACTTTTAAGGTGCCACAGACGAACGTAGTTGTTGTTATAATGCTATTAGCTATACCTGTTCTATTGTCAGTTGAACTACTGGATTCAATTATGCCTCATTAGCTTCCTCTTCTTCATGCCCATGCATCACCATGATGATGAAACCACAACATTTTTTTCTCTTTTTATCATTAGAATTTCGACTGTGGAGGGTTCTTGTATATGTACATTAATTATAGCTGGGGAATAATGATGGCACTGCATGTACACACAAAATTATGTGAAGTGAAGTAAATATGTTAAGACATAAATAGCCATGCATTCTCATTATGAGACTCTTACCTTTGATATCTTATGTAGATAGAAGTGTGCAAGTGTTTTTTGGCAAAAGACAATTATTGGCTCATATTTATTGTGGGAAATGTAAATCCTCTAATTTATTTTAAACAAAACTTCAAGTCATGAGATTCTATAGTTATTAGGGTGCATTTAAATAAATAGTTTAATTAAATATATTTATTTAATGAGTTTATTGGTTTATAAGTTTGACCGTGTAATTTATTGAAATATTGTTGACTGTAGAATTTATTAAAACAAGTTAAAAATGCACCCAACACCAAAAATCATATTTGGGTATGATTATTTTGTCTTTTAACACCAAAATATTTATTGACAATTAGATTATGGTTAGCACTTATATATCGGCAATTATAATGGTGTTAGTAAAATCTGAATACCGGAAAAAAGGTAGAATTTTTGTTTTTTTTTTTTTTTTGTCTATTATAACTGCTTTTTTGTGATTAATGTTCATTTGACACAAAAGTTAGTCTAGGATGGGTTTTACTTGCCATAATTAGTTTCTTGTTACTAGATAATTTTCACTTATAAATGCAATTTTGTTGTACTTGTAGTAGTATTTTGGTATATTTCTTTGTAAATTTTATCAAATTAAGATTAAAAAAAAAAAAAAAAAGAGTTTTGTTTATAAGTCACTTTCTAAATTCAAACAGCTTCCTTCAATATTGTCTCTCTTAGTGTGTGGAAGAAGAAAGAGAATTCCACACCCATCATTTTAAGAAAGAGGGAGGAGATCGAAGAAATGTTGATTTTTAAACAGCTAATGACTTAAACAACAAGTTTTGGATCAATTAATGTTAATTTTAATTAGGAGATTAGTTTGGAAGAAGAAAAAAATAGTATACATTGCACATTGATAAAAAAAGTCAACTCAAAACGAGACAACACGCTTCGTTATTTGTTTGTTTCTTCTCCTTCTTCTTCTTTTTTCTTTTCAACTACTTCGATTTCATCATCTCAAATCAAACAGTAGGAAAAATAAAAAGCAAGGTCTGGACCATCCAACTTCGTTACTGAATTTAAGAAGCGTTGTTTAAGGCACACGGTGATCACGACCTGCCTCTCACATTGCCAGTCAGAGGTTGCTCCCCAATCTTCTCTCTCTCTTAAAGGAGAAAGAGACCCTTTTGAATATCACTGTGCATGGAAGGTTTTTATTGTTGGACATATTTAATTTCCAAAACCCTATATTTTAACTCATAAATATATTTTTCTTCTTCATAAACAACTGAATTTAAGTTTAAAACAACTCTATAAAAATTATATTGTGTTTAGTTATATACTCTATTTTAACTGTATCAAAAAAGTTGATTCAGAATCTCTAATTTATTTTTTCTTTTGTTGTAATGATGTAAAATTTTATTTATGTTATAATAATTTTCTTGTTTTATAACTAAATTATCGAGTATTTAATTTGTAAGATTGAACATTTATAAATAATTAAATGACAACATGAGAACCAGTGACACAATAGGTTTAATTATAATTATTATATATGATTGATTTAGATATCAATTTAAGAAAGTGTATTTTGGTCTAATTTAAAACCCTTCTTCACTTAATATTATATGATTTATTTTGGTCAAATTTAAAGACGATATATGATTCCTAACATATTTCTTTCATATATATTAAAAGTAAGAATTAAATATCTTGAACGTGAAATTTGTAAAATTACATTTGTGAGTGGTTTAATAGTTACTCCATAAGTAAAACAATAGGTTCAACAACAGTAACTAAATATAATAAACTGAATCTTCTTACAAAATCAATTTATAAGATAAAGATCGTTTTTATATATTTGTTTTATTTTGATCATACAATTAGTCAACGTAAAATCTTTAACAATTCATACTCTAAAAAAATAATTGAGTAAAGGTAAACTTTGATTGTATAATTACTAGTTAAATTGATCTAATGTTATTTCATAAATTGTATGCAAGAGAAGCGTGAAAAATAAAAAGATTATCTGACATTAATTGAATTAAAATTTCAAATTTTTAATCATTGATATCGCTATTAATTGTTGCTTTTAAAGCAATTCCACAACTAATAAAGGATTAGGAGTTAATTTGTTGTAGTAAATCAAGATTTGAATCTCCCATTAAAGAAATGCAAAAATGTCTTTGAACATGATTATCTTTAAAAAGAAAGAAATAGAGAAGATCTCAGTACTTTGTGAAGAACTATCCAACATATATATGAGAAAAGGAAGAGAAAAAAAAATGGATGCAAAGGAAAAAGTAAAGAAATGCACATGCATATACGTACAGTTACGTTTCAATGTATATTCATCTACTCTAATTTAGATAGGTATGCGTATGGATTATTAATTTGTTTTGAACCCGTAGAGTTTTAATGCTGAAAATCTTCTTCACCAACTTCGTAAATGCTATATTGCTTTCACCAAAATTATTGAGCGAAAATTGGAGCGTTCTGTGGCTCTAGAATTTGAACAACCCAACAGGGGGACATGCATAACTCTGCTCTCGATATCGTCACTAAAGTGTAAGCAGCAATGATTGTCTGCAAATCTTAATGAATCGTTGAACTTTTTTTTATTTCTTAATTAAACAGTTGAAGTGATCTTATCAATATTTTAATGTATATCACTTTTTGGCTTGCCCTCTCTGATTAACCATGTGACATGTCAATTTCTTCAACAGATAATAGTTCCTTCAAAAGGCTTGTATTATAATAGTCTTCCAATTCCTCTCAAACATGTTTATCTTCTTTTTTTTTACCAAAAATTATGCATAAAAAAATTCATCATAAGCATATGACTAAATTAAAATATTTAGAGAGATTAGGTATGATCATAAAAATATCAAAATAAATGAAAAGACAAAAGTAGAAGAAAAAATTAAATATATACTAAATCTAACATGTATTAGGTTTTTGTTTTCTAAGTTTTTTTTAAAACAAAAAATTAAAATAAAATTTTCCGTAAGTTAAAATTAATGTATATAAATTAAAATTAAAATTTTGAAAATTTAATAATTTTTTAAAAAATTAAAATAAGTTAAAATATTTTTTAAAAAAAAATAAAATCAACGTATACATAACTAAAATCAGACGTATTATAACATTTTGATTCAATTTTAAAGTGAAAGAAATAAATGAACCAAATCAATCTAAATCAAAATAATTAATTCCATTTGAATGGTTGAATTCATTATATCAAATTGACTCGACTAACACCCCCATTACATAACATTGTTCAAAGAAAAATTTGATTTAGGCAACAGCTAGCACCAGTGCTAGGTCGTTGGGAGGTAGACGGAGAAAGTGTACCTGATTTTCTTTCTTTTAATTCTTCTTTCTTTTCTATTCAAACCTTGCTTCTCTTTAAATGTGGTGTATTTATATGTTTTGGTTATATTTGCATACCCATTAATTATGATCATTGTATACGCATTAAATCATTCGAACACATGCAATCAAAATTTTGTTGAATCATCATACATAAAAGAAAACAAGTTATGCAATACAACAATTTTACATACAATAACCGACACTAGTTAGTATAAGTAATAAGTATTTGTGAGTTGTCTATTAATAGAGTTGTTTAGGATTTAAATTCTAATTTTTCATATGGAATAAATTATGTTAAAGATAAAATCAAGTCTCTTAATTTAGTAAATATAAAATCTATTTTAGGATATGGGGAAACAATCACAGTGTTCTTAGATTCGATTATCATCTACATTAAAATAATATTTAACTGAAAGAAATCATATCTCACGAATATAAATTTGCCCTTAATTCTCAATTTTAAAAAATACTACGTAGATTAAAAAGTTATGTTAAGAAAAAATATTTATTTTATGTATACTTACGATTCCAACCAAAAATTACTCATTTTTTTTGATAATAAATTCTTCGTATAAATATCATGATTTACACACAATCATTCAATTCTAAACTACTGTACAATTGACTGATATCATAATCACTTAAGGAAAAAACAGTTATGGCATTTTTTTTAATTGACCATATAAAAAGAATTATATCAACAATACATAATCATTGAATTCTTAACATAATGCATAATGAATTAAGAATATTGGTGTATACATGCAGTAGGTAGTATCCAGTGGCATGTTGATTTAACGTGATTATATTTTACCACCACCCCCCAACTAATATTAGGGTAATTGAGGAGGCGTTAGCATATGATGATTAAATAAAACAGTTTTAAATCTACCATACGCCTAGCTACTTCTCCTTCTCCATGTACACTCTATTAAGGCATAACATAAACATAATTTGTAGAATGTTTGTCGTTAGATTTTTATGAATAGAATTTATAAAACGCTAAGCAAGACCACACTACAAAATAACCTAATAATTAATGATCAGAGTTAAATGATGACCTTTAATGGATTTGAACAAATATATAGCTTTAGTGAATAACCTTTAACTCAAACACCCTGTTATTAACACATAGGATCCTCTGCCTATAAGTTTTAACATGATGCATGATCATAAATTCACGAGTTTTAAAGTTTAGATTAAAGTATGTCCACGCACTGAATATGAGTTTCTTTATTTAGCAATGTAAATAATTATGTATACCATAATTGGATTTGGTTTTGAGATGCAGGTCTGAAGAATTTCCTAAGAAACCTGATGTAATTTAAAAGGCTTGTGTACGTTACGTGTTTTTCTAAAAGTAATGGTTATTATTCTCCTAATTAATTGAATTAAATGATTTTAATTTTTAAACTATTATATATATATATATATATATATATATATATAATGAAAAAGAAAATTGTAAATTACCTGCATATGTTGAGATAACTGGAGAATAAGGTTGTCGGCATATTGCTGAGGGGTATAGTTACGACTTGTTGGGTAATACTCGGGAAGAAAGTAATTATTTATGTAATCATTGTTTCCAATGTTCACATAATACAAGCACTTGTTAAGGTGCTGTTTAGCTTTCTCAACACCTCCAAGTTTGGTAGCAATTCTCGAAAATATGACTCTGTGGTTTCTCATCTGTAATCCCAAATTAACATTGGCACCCTGCATTGTGTAACACTAATTTAGTGGCATGCATGACCATTTAAACAATCCTCTATACCAAGACCCAGTTAAAGATAGAGAGATCAACAAAGAAATTAAGATATATAAAGGGTATATATATTTGATTTATGATCACAAGGGTTTTTGATATACTCTAATAGATTAAAACTTATTAAAAAATGCAAAATTTTATAATATGAAATTTTAAAAGTTTAGTAACAAAATATACAACTTAGTGAAATTCAGGAAATTAATCATGAAACAAACGATACCATACGTGTGCCGGTCTCAGGTCGAATACCAGCTGCTCCAGAAGCATAGTTCACACCCTTTAGTATGTCTGAGCCACCAGTGTTTGCAAAGGGTGGGATGAAACTCTCAAATCCCAGAAGCTGAGCTGCAATAGTTAAAACCTAACTAGTGAGCAAAATAAAAACTGTGGGGGGTTAGAAAATAGACATGCATCATGCATGAAGGGCTCAACAAAGTATAAGATTACTTTTTGCATTATTTTTTTGTGACCAAATAAGGGTGAATTAAACATGGAAAAGGTTACCAATTAGGTCAACAGCTGTTCGTCCATTGGTAAATCTTCCGGTTGGGCCTAATGGGAAGTCAATGCCATATGGTTTGTAATTGCACTTTGTAAATGTTTGAAGATTGTTGTTATTTCCATTGTCACATAGAGAGTCTCCAAATATAAAAATACAAGGCACTTGCGATTCTCCATGGACACATTGTTGCATGCAGTTTGCAGCTAATAGAAGAAGTGATAGAACCAACCATGGCTTAGAAGCCATCTCAATCTATGTAAAAAATTAAAGCTAATGATGAGTCAAATAAAAGAAATTGGGTTGTGAGTTGTGTGTGGCAAGTGCAAGATGCATGTATATATATAGGGTGGGGTATACTTAGGTCGGTCCTAAATTTTTGTCTTCCAAAAAATTAGAAATACTTTTATTTTCTCTTTACATTTGAAATTATTAATTTATTTTTCTAAAATTATGTATAGATTCTTTTCAAAATTATGGTCATGATTTTGTTGAGAAATAAAAACATCATATCTATCTTTGATTAATTTTTATTGATTAACCTGTTTCTATACTAATTTTATTCTAATATTTTATAGTAAAAACATTGATGTCCCATTTATCATGACCGGGCTAAAGGCCGCCATTGGTGGGTGACAAAGTTGTGTGTCCATGTTTGAACATTTTTTATAATAAAGTAAGACATGAACAATATTGAAGATTTGAAGGTGGAAGAGTTTGACAAGATTTATCTTTTCTTGTAAAGAAAAGAAAGTAACATGGTTGCTAATTAAAATAATAAATAAACTAAGATCACGAGTTTGGCAAGTTTGTTAGTAACAAAAATATAAGATCTAAAGAATTATGAACACATATATTTCAACTTTGTACCAATGAGCACGAATTCCTATAAGAGATGAGTCCATTGGTTCCTGTTTTTGCATTTTGCTTCATTCGTCTTATTGACAAGTGAACGCGCCAAGCAAGGATAGCTGCTTTTGTTTGTTTCTTCTATTTAACAATTGATATATCATGATTTCATTACGAATCAATTCAAGAATTTTCTGCTCCTCCAAACTATTAAAAAAATCATTCTGTTTAAAACATGACACATCTATAGCAAATTATTTATTTATTTTTCTTAATGTTTTCAGTCATATATTCATCGAATTGCTTGTTTTATGTTTCCATGTATATATATCCCTCTATATAATTAATATGGGATATGTATCTGTATATAAACCGCTTGTAAGATAATTCTAAGATAGTAATTGATATTGATATTAATTTGGGTATTATATGAGTTTAAATTTAATGAGAAGAATAGAAACATACGTTAACAATCGATTAATTTAGAGGGAAATGATGAAACGAAAACTAATAATGTATATTTACAGTTGAGTTGACCACATACATTAGTGAAAAATCAGTTTTTTAGTCAACGTTTTCTCGTTGATTATAAAAATATTTGACGTAAAAAATATGCGTGATATTTTTGAAATTAATCTAAAACTTTTTACGTCAGACCAAAGGGAGTCAGACGTAAAAACTAAAATCTACGTCGGATATGAAGTACAGTCCGACGTAGATTTCAATTTTTACGATGGACCCCTTTTGGCCTGACGTAAAAAAGTTGTTTTATTCTCCCTAGTACTTTCGTCTTTTTCGTGGGCGCAAGTGTTTTTCCATTGTTTTCCTCTAGGGTTTTCCTCTAGTGATTTCCAGCAACGGTGATATGAGACCTTTGGGTATTTTTCGATCACGGTGAGCGGTAGCAACAACGGTGAGCGGCGACGACAATGACGGCGAAACCCATTTTTGATTCTAAACCTATCTCTCCGATTGGGTTGAAGCATTTAGGCGTTTTCATGGATTGAGGTTAGTGTGCTTTTATGTGTGTATTGATATTTTTGTGTAAAAATGTTGTTTTATTCCTGCACGTAAGTGTTTTAACACTGTTTTCCTCTCCAGCGATATCCGGAGACAGCGGTGCGAGACCTTTGGGCGTTTTCCGTTCACAATGCACGGCGGCAAGACCCATTTTTTATTTTGGACCTATCTCTCCGATTAGATGAATCGAAAGATCTTCTTTATCGTCGTCATTCTTGGAAAGTGACCTATCAACACCTTCGTCTTGAAAACCTAGCTTAATTGTAAGACCCAGTGGTTATTTTTTCTTTAATATATACTTATATGGTCAAACTTCATCCAAAATCAAACTATATTTACTAAAGGTGTGTTTTGAATTAACGTTATCTTCTATGTATCCAATTAATGGAAAAGTTATGTGACTGGAGTTTCCATATAGAGTGGTTTAATGGTCGTCTTTGCTGCTCTAGCCAAACATTTGCTTCTTCTAGGTGTGCACATTTTAGATTGGAAACTTGCATTTCTACAGCAAAGAAAGATATGTGATATAAAATGATTGGATTGAAAGAAAAATAAAACTAAAACACAGCATGTTGTAGAAAAATTCTATATAAATAATTAATTAACATAATACATTTTGAAATCTAGTTCTTATTTCTCGTTATATAAATTATAACAATTATTTTGAATAAGAGTATTTTTAGAGATTTTTCTAACCTTTTATCTCTTTTAATTTATCATTTTCATTTTAAAATTATTTTTAAAAATATAAATCAATTTAAAAATAAAATATATTTTGTGAAAGTTTTCTCATATTATCTTTTACAACATATTTTTTTTTATAAATATACTAATTTAAACTTTTATAAATAAAATTATTATTTTTCTTATTTTATTTTCCTAAACATATTTATGGAAAATTTTATTCAACCAAATTCTATCTAATATAAGAATTTAAAATACCAAGAAACATAATGGTAATCAATTCTTATTTTTCACCGGTGAATATCATTTATAGTATTGATAAGGACATTCAACGCTGATTAAATTGGTTCAATGATTGATGTTAATCCCATTGATATATATAGAATGAGAAAATATTTTACATTGAATATTAAACTAATATAAAAAAAAATAGTTAAAATTACAATTGATGTAAAAAGGTGTCACTTTTTAATTAGGTTGTGGGTTTAATTGATGTAAAATGTCACATTTTTTATCAATTATCAATTATAAGTTTAATGAGTATAAAATGTCACATTCTACATCAATTAAAATCTTTAATTGATGTTAGAAAAAAAAAGCCTTTTTTTTTATATCGTTTCAATAAGAACTAATGTTAAAAAGTTGTTGTAAAATGTTAATTTCCTCCGTGATTATTATTTAACTTTTAATTATCATTTTATTTTACTTTATATAACATATATGGTGTTATTTTATGCTGATTTAAAATTTTATTTAACTTAATTTATTGTAACTTCGTATTAATTCATTGTTCAATATACATTTAAGATTAACAATTATATACTCCATAAATATCACTTTATTAAATAAACCGTCATTTCAGTGAAGGTTGGATGAATACATGATTATTGACCTGAAACTTTTCATTTGAATTGGTGGTCTATATAACCTTTGAAAAGGATTCATGGAGATTAATATTGATCATTTCTACATAGGCTCATAGCTCTGTAGCATGAAAGGGCAAGATTAATGAAAGCACTTAAATGCTTCAAGCCAGTCACCGTTTACATATACTGAATTAAAGCATTGATCATTTGTTGGTAAGTAAGGAACAATAAATAGCTGATGATGATTAGTAACTAAATAAATTGCTCGTTAAAATATTTGGAATATGAAAGCTTCATTAAAGGGCCATATAATAGATTACTAGAATAATGAAGATTTATAGCCAATAGCTACGTTCTTAGTTTGGTCTATCCTAGCTCGTGCATCAATTTTCCCTTTCTGATTTAATATATAAAATATCTAGAGCAACCACAATGATGTGTTGCACGCATGCACAAAGCTCATGAAACATAAAAGAATGTTCAATTGAAACTCAAGTCAAATGAGATTATGATGATTAAAAGGAGGAGGAATTCTCATAAATTAACACATAGCATAACTAGTTATGACTTATGAGTAAGTCTCCAAATGTGAGTGCAATTAACACAATCAAAGACAATCAATGACTCCAATACAGATAAAAATATACTGTGTTTAAAGCCAAACGAACTGTTTTAACTACAGTGTCTTCAATGCATCTTTCCATGTTCTTATTGAAAGATGGGATAAAGACCATATAGTACGTAGTTTTTTTGTTTCAAAAATGATTGATGTTTAAAATTAAGGCATATATTTTAAGAAATATTTAATATTATCTATTAATTAGTATATTTAATCTAATATATTCACATTTACTATTTGTTATATTAAGAATAATTGTGAAATAACCTTAAATTCTAAATAAGAGTATACGTGGAAAAAAAATAGTAATGAGTTAGAATTCATAAAATGTCTTTAGGTTAAAACATTAATAGTTTTGAGCTGGGGAGTATATGCATAAATTTTCATTGACCGAAATTCATAAATAGTGTTCTTATCAAAACTTGGAGATACATTATGTTGGTGAATAGGATCCAACAATCTCCTTTCTTTTTGTGTTGGATGAAGTGCTTATAAAGAGTGTTTATAGTGTCTTGGATTATAATTAAAAAATTAAGTTAAATTAAATTAAATGTTCTAAATTTACGTTTAACTAAACATAAGTTTAGTTTAACTTGATTTATCTTTGGATATCTTTATTTTAAAAGTATTTTTTTTATTAAAATAGAAACTTTTTTTGAATAATAATAATTAAAAATATATTTAAATGTATAAATAAAAAAATTGTGTATGAGTTTTATAATACAAGTGAATATTATTTATTCAATTACTTTTCAATTATATTTGAATTTTTAATATATTATTATTATTATTATTATTAAAAATGATGGTAATATTATAAATTAAATTATAAATAATGCTAAAATATTTTCATAACAACCGAATAACATAAGGCCAAAAACAATAATCAAATCAACATTATCAATAAAAAGTAAAAGATAAAACAATTCAAGTGGTCATATATATATATATATATATATATATATATATATAACTTCTATATATATAAATTTAATAGATGTTATTGTATTATATATGGGACAATCAGATATTTTATAGTGAATATATTGTATATATAACTCACGTTCACTTTAACTTAAAAACAACAACTTGTTGCCTTGATTTGGACGTGCATTAAAACAAAAATATCATTAAACTCAATCGGAGAAAAGTTTATCAAACAAACTAATTCAGCATCCAATAACTTTGTTTAAATATTTAAACGGTAAACCAAACATAGCGTAACGCTTAGATAAAAATTAGTCTGTTAGAGATAATTA